TGCACATATGCAACTTCAAAAGTAGATACACATGCTCATACATCTGGATACGGGTGTAACCTGAGGAAAGAAAGATGGAGATGGAAAAAAGGTACACACGAAGTCCACAACAAGAGCCAACCTACACATTGTAGTATAAAATGGCTAGAGATCTAATCACAACCACGCGGCCGGTTATACCCACTTGCTGTGGTACTTGCAGCCCAAAGGATCTACAAAGAGGAAATGATCATGCGGAGAAAGGTATATAACAAAAAATCCGGATGTATGGCTTTTGTAATTGCATACGTGCATTCATTTTGGGCCTGATGCAGCCAACATACGTATTGCTCGGATTACCTATCTTATTTCTGCTCGAATCCACTTTCCTTCTTTTTGCGGATTTTGCCCATTATTTTCGTGTTTTTTGTTATTTACCTTTCTCCGCATGATCAGTTTCTCTTTGTAAATCCTTTGGCCTTGAAGTACAACAGCAAGTAGCTATAACCAGCCGCGTGGTTGAGGTTAGATGTCGCCTTGAAAATTCGAGGTCTTCTAGCCATTTTATACTACAATGTGTAGGTTGGCTCTTGTTGTGGACTTCATGTGTGATTTTTTTTTGCTCTCCATCTTTCTTTCCTCAGGTTACACCCGTATCCGGATGTATGGGCATGTGTATCTACTTTTGTAGTTACATAATATGTGCATTCATTTCGGGCCTGATGAAGCCAACCAGCAGAAATACGTATCGCTCGGGTTACCTAAACTATTTTCTGCTCGAATCCACTTTCCTTCTTTTTGCGGATTTTGCCCATTATTTTCGTATTTATTGTTTATATATATATATATATATATGTATATATGTATAACCTATATATAAATTAAGTCTTTCCGTTGTGTAATTATACTATTCTACTCATATTTATATTACAAAAATTATCAAGTAATATCAAGACTACTTGAATTTTCAAGTACCTGACTTGGTTTTCACTGCTAATACCTAATACTTGACTTGAGCTTGCAAACCAAGTCAAGGTGAATACGTACAATTTCCACCATTTTGTTAAATTGAGATTGTCAGCGTCTAGTCTAGTAATATCGTCTAGTATTTTTCACAATTAATACAGTGCTGTTTTTTTTTAATTAACATGTAATAACCACTTTGACCGCGTATGCCGGTTTTTTATAAAATCTTTGATTTCCCCATTTTAGGTTGTGCTAGAAATCCTTGGTCTAGACCCCGAAAAGACTCTAAGCTCTATCCACTTAAAGAAAAGTCACAGCATCCCCGACTACTCCAACAGATGTCGCAACTATTTCTCCAACATGATGACGTCACATAACCATCAAGTAGACTCGTGTCTGGTCGATCTTGAGGAAAAAGGAGAAGACTGTCCATTCCTCTGGGACCAGGGAGACAAGAGGATTTTCGAACCACTCGGAAGTGGTGCCAAAACGCAGAATTCGTTATTGAAGTTTAGGCGGGGCAACGTCGAATAGTGCGCAAGAGAGACTGGTTAAAACGATGGAAAAAAGCATAAAGGAAAGTGCGCAAGTGTAGTGAAAATCTGATGATCACCACCTACCGATGGTTTGCCTACCTACGCACAATACTTGGAGTTTTTCAAAAGATCATAACCAACTGTTTGATTTCCGTTTCGTCTGTGTCCAGGACTAGACCTAAGATCTATATAGCACTGATGAGATACTAATAAGCACGAAACAGCGCTGTCTGCGCGGTTGGTCATGGTTACAGAGACGGAAAGCAAACATGCCCATTTCAGTCAAAAAGGAAAGTGTCCTAAACCGGTCGCCCCTTCCCTAGCGGGCGCCTGGTCTCACTGGCTCTGCATTTTCTGAAACTCTCTTCTAGTTGCACCTTGCCGCCTCGTGGGCACACGCCACGGTACCACCGTGCAAGGACAGTAACCTGAAGACGATTTTTCGAATGAGCGCATCCGCAATAACGAGTATGTTTAGTAAACAACAACTTGAGAGGAAGAAGCCACTGTTCCTTTGATCTGTCAAGCTACTTGATGCCCCATCTTGCGGCGTTCACTTGTGGTGCAACTAGAAAGCGGTTGGAAATTTTGTTTAAACAGGATGTCCCAAATTTTATATCACATTCTTATAGATCATTCCCTTTCCTTCCTTTAATTTTTAGAAGAGAAACGACACTATATACTATAACGTTTTAGTGATTAGTTGTAAAGTTATACGCTATAAGTGATTCAATGTAGAAAGACACTCAACTTTGACCACCTACCAGTCCGCCATTTTGAAAGGTAGTGATTTTGTTTGGTTTTTCATTTTTTTACCATTAACAAGGTGGGGTTCCAGTTTTAGGCACTTTCCTTTAATATCCTATTAGAATTCATAAGGCTGTGCAGCAAAAAAGATTTAGCGGCAATTTGTGTATGAACGTGAACATTTTCTGCTAAAATGAAGACACAGTAGTGCACTTATCGACCAAATTTGGAAAACGTCAACTTTGGCGACTCCACGCGCCTTGGGTTCTTATTTCACGCGGACGACGCAGATCATAACCGCCCGCTTAGCGCCCTAGTGCATGAAATACTATTAATATACCCCCTAATCTATGTCGCACTCCATCAGTGCAGCAACTTAGAAATTGAATAAAAACTTCGAACGCGTGTCATAATTATGTCGATTTTTCTCATATCTTGGTTAGAAGCATATCAAACTACCTGTGGGGTTTATAGTGATATAAGCTTATAAAAACTTGCAAGTTTGAGTGTGATATGTACATAAAATATAAGCAAAATGCGTCCGCTTGACAGTGTGTAAATATTGTTACATATCTCAAGGAAAGATTGTATGAATATCTAGTCGGAATTTATTATTGTTTACTATAATTAATTGAACCTGTCAATTAAACTGTCTGTATATATGTATAAGAACGTTAGATCTATTTTTATTATTAGCTTTTGTGATGTTGTTAACAGTTACGGAATATTGTTAAAATAACTATAATATAATTAGTGATAAGTCCAAACATTGTCAGTTACGTATTCATCTTCACTATTTAATGTATTGTCGTATAGCTTCAAGAACTATCAAAGCTGTTGTTTTTCAAAAACTTTTAAATGTATCTCAAACTTCGTGCTATACAACCACAGATCTTATAAACTTTTAACATGATGAATTTTATATCAAAATCCATCACGTGATATTTTATTCTACGTTTTTTATAATGAATGATTCATTTAGAGCATACAAATTAAAAAGCCATCGACTGTATGGTTGTCTTTGTCATCTAACAAAAGAGACATGGATGGTATTTCTTTTTGTTGTGAGGGGCCCTTTAGCTAGCAATTTATTGACTATTAATATGAGCGTTTTGCCTTGGTCTGCTTCCGGCATATCGGACGGTTTGGGTCGACTTTTTTCGACTGATAGCAATCTCGTGGAGAGCATTTAAAAGACCACACGTGCCTAGGATTGACGCGCCAGATTTACATATTCAATGATGCCCATTAATTATTGCATAATCAAGTAAAACCTCGTTATTTTCATAAAACTTTCAATAAGATATACATAGTCGATACATTATTGGATTTTCAAAACGTGATTAAATTCCTTGTGGAGGGTACCTACTACATCACCTACCACCAGACTAACAGCTGAAGCACTAATGCAGCATTAGCTCCTCCCATAAATAATAGTCGGAGGATGGTACTGTAAGAAAAACACCGTTTTACTGTTTAGTGGTTTTAGGTCCAATTTATTACTTCCACACTAATTTATAACAACCCTTGTAACTAATTTACGACAAATTTATGACTATGTCGACTAGTCTGTGCTGCTGACTCATCACCCGCTGTCTGTCCACTGATTGTCCCTCTGGTAGAGGCCGCCTGGGTATTTATTTGAAATTGACGAGTTCCAGAGCATTCCTGCGCTTTACCGAGGTTCTATACAATGTCGATCAATCCTTCTCAAAGGCTCCCGATGTCGCCACATCTTGCCGCAAACTCTACCGCTCTTGATGTTCGGTAGCGAAACTCTGATTGCCTAAGCGCTGATATTGCGAGGGCATCTCATCGTTACTCGAGGTCCCAGTTACGAAGGAGTTACAGTATCTATTAATAAGAGCATTAGCTACCTTATAAAGTTCTCCCAGATTCGCTACATGCTGCATTTGGATGGTTTTCTTTAGGAATTAAAAAACCGATTTTATGTGCACATTATTCACCATTTCTGCAAGTCGGCAAATGTCGCCCCCCTATTTCTCAGAAACTAATCATCCCATTGCTTCGGTCCCATGAGAACTTTTATCAGGAAAATTGAACTTCGAGTACACCTTTCTCTTTTGTTACTAAACGAAATCGTGTAGTATTCGACCTAGAGTCCTTTAAGTTAAATAGCTATGAGATGAAATAGAGGTTTTGAGAATAACTTTTGTTTTCATAAAGTTATAAATAAAGGGCGCTTTCCGTCGTGGCAGTGTATTGAATTTCCCGCCACCTAGTAATTCCGCCAGAGATCGCTATTGACGTTCTTAACAGCCATGGCCATCTAGTAAAACGTCATAACCTAAACATCGCCGGGATGTTACGTACAAGTGCGGAGTACAACAGAAGAGACGCGATTATCGAAAGTATTCGCGCTGGGCGTTCGCCAACCGAAATAATTCGATTCTTCCGGTACCCGATATCAACGGTATATGATATTGTATCCAAGTACAATGCTTCTGAGGAGTCTCGGGAAAGCTCCTCTAACCCAGCGAGGAAAACTCATTCGAGGGAACGAAGGTCACGAACTCCGGCAGTCGTGGAAAAGGCTCAGGCGCTGATTTCGGAGGACCCGGTGCAATCGTTGCGGAAATTGGCGCCAGTATTGGGTGTCAGCGAGCGAACCATGCGTCGGATTGCAGAGGACCTACGTTACAAGTCGTACACAATAAAGTTGCGACAGATGCTGTATGAAGCTACCAGAACAAAACGGCTTGCTCGCTGCAATCTGCTCTTGAGTTAATTAAAAAATGAGGTGGCAGGGCGAATCAGATTTTTTGTGATGAAAAAATTTTTACTGTTGACGCGAAGGTCAACCGAAAAAATGATCGCTGGCTCGCCACGACCTCGAACAAAATTTCCGGCTAGTGTTCACGTCCTAGGTGTTCTGTCCAGTGAAGGTGATGTCATGCCGCCACATTTCTTCGAAAACGGACAAACTGTCAATAAAGAAGTTTATGTGCAAGTTTTGACAAATGTCGTGGAACCGTAGATGGTAACTGTGGCCGCGGGGAGACAATATGCCTTTCAGCAGGACGGTGCACCGGCCCAAACGAGCCATTTAGTGCAAACTGGCCATCGGATAACGTGGAGATGTTCTGGAGCAAAGAGTTCTGGCCCCCGAATAGGCCGGATTTGAACCCTCTGGACTATTATGTTTGGAGCGTAGTCGAAATGGTTACTAACAAGTCCAGGCACCCTAATGTCGTATCTCTACGCTCCGCTTTCGAAGCAGCATTTACCAATATGGACCGTGTTTTAAAGAGAGCATGCGACCGTTTTAGGACAAGGATCGAGGCGGTCACTAGGGCTGAAGGAGGTTATACAGAGTAATTTTACTCTCAATAGATACAAATATATTTCTGTAAATGAATTTTCACTTTTGTTTATGCTTTGTATATATATATATATATACAGGGTTATCCAAATTAAGTGTCCACCATTAGTAACTTTGTTATTAGTGAAAATACAAAGTTGTTTGAATTAGCAAACTAGTAGCATGTTTAACGCTGGTAAAAATGAGAAATAAAAAAAAAACAATTGAGAGTCGTTATTTTGATTTTTTTCAGTAAAATAACATTTTTTTAAATGGAAACCCCTGTATATTATATTTTTTTTCTGTTAAAGCATCAAATTTTAAACAAAAAAGTTCATAATGACTTTTCCGCTAAAGTCAAAATAACGATAAATATTTTTAATTATTTGCAGTATTATAATATTAAGACGGCTATGAAAACAACATGGCGTTCGCGATTTGACAGCATTAAGATAAGCGACAAATTGTTAAACTGGACATACTCGCAACTAGAAGGCTTTGGAAAACAATGATAAAATCAAATAATGTCAAACATTAGTGTAAATACTTGTTTATAAGCTTTATTGTGTCATTAATTTAAAGAAAAATGTTCTCCCATGAAGAAAAGTGTGATATGTTAGAATGCTATTTAGTGTGCAGAAAATCCTCCTTGAGAGCAGTGAATTATATCCCGCTCGCATTCAACCGTATGAACGATATTTTCTGAGACTTTATCGAAAATTTAGGGGCAACGAAAATGTTTTTTGCTAAAACAAGGGCAAAAAAAGAATTCATAATAAGCGAGGCCACGGAAATTGCAGTTATTGGATATTTTGAAGCTTATCGTGAGAATTCAATAGAAGATATTCTCAAGGACTCTAATTTCAGTTATGGTACTGTTCAAAGGATTTTAAAAAAATACAAATTTATTCCGTATAAGTACCGACCAGTTCAAACGCTTTTGGCAGGGGATCCAGAGAGAAGACTTGTTTTTTGCCATTGGTATCTTAGCTTCTGTCGCCAAAATGTAAATAACTTTCGTTACCTTTTATGGACAGATGAATCAAATTTTTCAAATTCTGGAATGTTTAATAGAAAAAACCACCATTATTGGTCAAGAGAAAATATTTTGTTAGTACATCCAAGAGGCCCACAAGTCCGTTTCAGTTTCAACGTTTGGTGCGGTATAATTGGTTCAAAAATTGTTGGCCCGTTCTTTTATGAGGGAATCCTAACTGGTGAAAGATATGTGGAATTTATGTCAGAAATTCTGACTAATTTCTTAGACGAATTGGATCTTATAAGTAGACATCATCTGCATTTTCAGCAAGATGGCGCACCTGCCCACAACTCCAGAGGTACTTATCATTTTCTAAGTACTACTTTTAATGATAAGTGGATAGGAACAAATGGCCCAATACAGTGGCCTCCCAGATCACCAGATCTAAACCCACTTGATTACTTCTTGTGGGGTTACTTAAAGAACCAAATTTACAAGCGAAGGTACGATAACCTTGACGCGTTAAAGACTGCAGTTAGGGAAAAGATAACCCAGATAGATGGTAGGACCATACTTAAGACAGTTCGAGCAGTTGAAAAACGTGCCCAAAATGTATTGAAGAACAAGGTGGTGTTTTCGAGCATAGTCTTTAAAAAACATTGTTATTGTATTTTGTAAGATTATAAGTTGATGTTGAAAATAAAGTTTGTCGATACAATTTAATTGTTTCAGATTGGAGGCCATAACTTCAACAATTTGTAACCTAGGAGAATAGTTATTGTAAGCTTTTTTGTTTAAAATTTGATGCTTTAACAGAAAAAAATATAATATACAGGGGTTTCCATTTAAAAAAATGTTATTTTACTGAAAAAAATCAAAATAACGACTCTCAATTGTTTTTTTTATTTCTCATTTTTACCAGCGTTAAAAATGCTACTAGTTTGCTAATTCAAACAACTTTGTATTTTCACTAATAACAAAGTTACTAATGGTGGACACTTAATTTGGATAACCCTGTATTATATATATATATATAACTTTTATGAAAACAGAAATTATTCTCAAAATTTCTAGATTGTCACCAGTGGCGTAGCTACTTTGGGTTTCACCCGGTGCGGAAGTTGGTGGTGTCACCCCATCGAAAGTCAAAAGCAATAAATTTTATATGATTTATAAACGTCATGGATCATTTAATGTAAAACTAAGACAGAAAAAATATATTAAACTAACAATATTAAAATCTCTTCTTTCTAGCTTTGACAGCTGCAAACTCAGAAATAACTTCATCAAAATTTATATTTTGTATTGCCTCGTGGCTAATATACCAAGATTGCTAAGCCGCGATTATGTCATTGCTCCCCGCAAATAAGTAGTTTTTTATTAATTTAGTTTACTGAAATTACTTTCACATAAAGCTACGGACATGCAAACCGCCATGAAAAAATTTAGTGCAATCATAAGGTTTGTAACAGATTCTGTAAAATCCCATTCTACAATAAACTTTAAAAAATCGAGAGATACCCGATCAGAAACTGTAACATTAGCTGTTTTTAAGTGTCTTCGCTGTCTTGGTATCTCCAAAAGTATCTTTTTTTTTAACACTACACGTTTAACACATCACGCCAACCAAACACAACACACATCACGAAACAAATGAGAAATGATGTAACTGAGACTTCAAGGATCGCGACTATGGGACGGGGAATCCCACACGGCAGCGTAATACGCTTTTGGGAGAATCCCCAAATTATACATAGAGCTGAGCTAGTGCTTGTGTGGAGGAATCGGCATAGATGACGCCTGTGCTAGCGATTTTTTTTTATGTGTGTACATTGTCAAAGTTGAGTCACCGGGTGGGTGTCACCCCAAAAAAGGTGACTTTCCATTTTTTTCTAACCTCAGACTGTTTATTTATAATTTATAAGCCCCCTTAAATTAATTGTTTTAATACTTTTTCTTTTCAAAAAAGTACATCTAAATGAATCACCCATTATTTATTTTAAAGATTCACAATTAGCATTTCATGTGATCTTACAAAAAGTAGTGCCTCTATTGTGATTATGCGAATTACATAATGAAAGTTTTCATCTCAAACAATCAAAAAGTAGGTTAATTACTGATGTACCTATTTCACATCTGAGTGTCACACTGTTATTCAAGGTTTATTTTAAATATCTGTATCAAAGCATTCCATATAATATTGTAAAAATTAAACTGATCAAATTATATATTTGTATACTTCTTCACAGGTAAGGTTACTTAAACTTAACATGTGATTATAAATAAAATAATTTGAACTCGAAGAGTTTTATTTATCAATCTCAAATCAGTTAAAAAAATATTTTCATATAGAAATTTGACCATTAATGGAAAAATTTATACTTTTAATGGGTACCTAAAGGATTTGAATCATATTCGCGTATGAAGTCATTTGAAAGTCATTTCAAGGTCAAGAGCGAAAAACTGTCGAATTATATCAAGCTCAAATTGAAAGATAACATACAGGTACATATTTTGAGAAGATACAAGGTTTTATTTGTATTTATTCCTAGTTTATAAAAACAGAAAAAAACCTTTTATGAATTAAGGTTGCAACTCACATCCATTGTGCATATTTATGTATAGGCCAAGGTCAGGTGCACAACCTGCAAACCAATGAATTTTTCATATACTAAAGGTATAAAGTAACAAAAAAACAAAACCTGCATGAAATTCCTTGAGGTTTATGAGTTTTTAAAATCAAAACTCCATTTTATCATAATTTTGATTATAAAACATATTTCATGGAAAATAAACATGTTTAACCAGACCAAAAAGGCGCAGGCTAAACCCTCTTAAGAAAAAATTACTTACGAACATGTACATTAGGGAAACTAAACGGGTCAAGTCAGTCAAACAGGCCCATATAATTAATCGATAGACATTCTTTCCCTGCCCTACCGGCAGTTACCGCCCATCTGACAACAGTACACTATGGGCAGAAAAGTGAACCAGATCGGTACACCCGCCAGTGAACACAGAGAGCAGAAGCAGCACGCGAATCGAAAAAAATTCCACTATATTCTGAGTTTTAAAGTAAAGGCGCTACTTCAAAAACTACAATGCTTTTTCATACTTGCTTAGTTGAACTTTTTGAAGATTTTGTAAACATTTTGTTACTACGTATGTAGAGTATTCAAAGCAACTATTGGTTTGCTATCTCCACAACTAACCCATTTTCTTCATTTAATGTTACTGTTCAATAAAATGAATTTTCTTCATATGAAGATTCAACTTCGTAGTTGATGCATAGGTTTTATCACATGCAGTACAAGGGTATCTTCTCTGTGGCCCACTATGTTTTTCCTCAACATGCCTTGTCAAAGTAGTCTTGTTCAAGTACGACACTCCACAAAATGAACATACAAAGTCTTTGGTCCTACTGCCACTATGTTTCCTCATAAAATGTTTCCTTAACCATGAATTCAACTTAAAAGATAAGTGACACTCTGCACATTCAAATTTCTTTTCATTTTTGTGTTTGAGAAGGATATGGGTATTGAGGGTAGTCTTTGTGTTAAAACTTGCAGCACAAACATCACAAACAAATCCTCTATAGTTTACATGGACTGTTTCATGCACTCGTAGGCCACTCCTATACTTGAACTGCTTTCCACACTTCTTACAGGAAAATCGTTTTTCGGATGTATGTGTAAACTTGTGGTCAAGAAGATAATCTTTCCTGAAAAAGGATTTTCCACATTGATCACAAACAAATGTTCTGTGGATCTCAGTATGGTTTTTGAGGGATGCCTTATCATCATAGGAATCTTCACAATATTTACACTTATACTTCTTTAAATTATTGCTTTTAGAATCCTCTGGGAAACCTATACTATCTTCATAATCACAGTCAGGTTCATCACTAGAATATACATCATTATCTTGATATTGGTTCTGTTCTATAATAACATTTTTAGTCCAAGGTTCATGATATTCCCCACACTCTACAACTGAGGTAGTATGTTTTTTAGGTTTTACAGTATTAACTGAAATATCTTCAGATGCAGGCTCTTTCCTCAAAAGCATATCTTCCTGGCTAGCACTTGTGGATGTTGCTTTACACCTGTTCAAGATATGTTGTAGATAATCTGTGTTTCTTCTGAGACTCAATATCAGCGTATCAAATTCTATTACAGTTGTTTTACATTTTTCACAAACGTTTTCTGGTAGATCAGCACTCCAGGTTATCTGAAATGTGAACGCATACGTATAGTCTTCTAGTTAGTAATAAAACACATTCAGAAAGAAATGCTCATGCGACTTACCTCTATGCAGGCTAGATGATAAATCAAGTCTGCAATGGATTTATCTTTATGTGATATTAGAAAAAGTGGAAACATAACTTCCCCTTTTGTAAGGCATACACGACATTTTTCTAACAAGTTATTGGTGTTAGGTTTGGGCATTTTAAAACTTTATTTTACTTGTTTACCTCTGCTTCGTACACAATATTGTTTATTTAAAGCCACAAAACATATATACACTATAAAACTAAAGTCAAACTTCAAAATAAGGCATCAGTGACACCAACACCAGTCATCTTTCAAACATATGTCGGACACCGAGCTGTCGAAAAATATAGAGTGATGCTTACAAATATAAACTACCGATACGATAGTAATTACAGTGAGATGTTCTCGACTGCCATTATCACATAGCTGGATAGCTTGATGCTAGTAATGCCGGTCCCACACGATACTTCCAACGTTGTTTACAACGTTCGACACCCCACAATTGGCAAGTGTGTCTCCTACACGATGGGATGAACTTTTTGGTCTCGGACATTCGACGCACGGTGGCGCCAACATCTATTATCGGCGTCAGTGTCGCGCTTGAACCTTTACAACTGAAGGAAAAATTATACAAGATGAACGATGAAACCATTTTTTATCTTCAGCGGCCAAAACTTAAGTCTGTCAGAAGCCTCAGAAATGTCTAAAAACGAAGTTTGGCCGTTTTTTGTTTGTTTTTCGATCAAAACTCCGCCGCCACTGTACCGATTTTCAACAGCTGCAGGGCTTTTTCGTCATTTCCATAGTAGTAACCTAGAGTCAAAATTTCCTCAAAATCCTGATAGTACTTTCTGAGTTATCATTTATTTAATCTTTTTCGTTAGTTATGAAATGGAAGTCAATATATTTTTCAACTGGTCTTGCATTGCTACAGGACATTATAATGAAACAACTGTAAGCACTTGATGATTTACTAAAATACATATCCTTAGGCCAGCCATAACTCACCTGCGAAACGTACAAAACATTAGCAATATGAAAAAAGTGTTATTATGGCAGCCTATGCTTTGTACGTATACTAATTTAATTCATTCTGCTCGAAAGTTAGTGACGGAACATACACTATTATGAATAGGTATGTGTTCAAATCAAAATGTTTCTCACATACCTCTACTTCACCACAATCACAGCAAACAAGTAAATAATGTTTTTCGTCGCTACTGGTTCTAACCTAAAACCATTAAACACATAACATCTCGTGTGGGAGCGTAACGAACCATGCTTCCAACGTTGTAACGTCCTTTGACGCGGATCAAATTTACCGAACGTGCCATGTGGCGAACGTTGGACACATGAAGCCGTAAGCGCTCTCCTACATCGTGTGAGACCGGTTTAAGAAGTTTTTAATGAGTGTTTCCATTGCGTTAATCAGTTATAGAGGAGCGACTCAACGAGTGTTTTGCTATAATTTTGATGTAGGTATGAGACAATCTGATTGAACTGTTCAGCAAACACCAGCTTCAAACAGCAAAGCAATGCACAATAGTCCTTAAGTGAAAATATATAGGTGCTTCATGTCCAAGATGCATTACAGGTGGATAACACTTCTAAAATAAAATAAAATGTGGTTGTTTCCAAAGTAAAGGTTACAAAATATACAGTACAGGGTTGGCATCACATTTTTGCTGCTATTGCTGTGAGGTGATTTTCGGTTGTTTAATTTCGTGGCGCTCAAAATATCTGATACGGATACAGCTGATGAAGCCTAAAAAAGAGCTAAAATGATTCATTTTAGCATCAGCCAAAAACAAATTATTCTCAACATTTTTAAACACGAAATGCACGGAGGGAATTATTTAAGTGCTGAGGAAAGTGTTTTCAAAGTAGCAAGTGTTTCGGGCGTCAGTCGTTCAACTGTTTACCGAATTGTTCGTGAGTATAGAGCTAATCATTCACTGACCAACCCAAAAAAGTTACCGCAAAGTAAAATAATAAACGATGGGATATATGACTTCGATAGAACCGCCATAAGTTTCAAAAGATCCATTTTCCGTAAGTTACTAAAAGAAATGGAATTTCAGTGCAAAAAACTGGGAACAAACAGGTTCTTATTAAAAAAAGGCAAAATAGTTGTCTGGAGAAGAGAATATCTAAGAAAAATCAAGAAATTTCGTACAGCAGGTAGAAAAATATTCATCCTAGATGAAACGTCGGTCAACGTTGGGCATATACAGGTGAAGGTTTGAATGGATTCTTCTATAAATCCCTCAAGGCAAGATTTCCTGGATTGAAAAACCTCTGAGGTAGTATTTTAAAAGTACTAGGTATTTTTAGTATGATTGTTCTGACACCTACATATGTTCCAATATACTTGTAAGTCAAGGAATTTTAACTGAAGTTACCTTTTATATTTGTTTTTGTGCATTCATGTTGTTATTCTGCCTAAAATGTGTCGAGGTAAGAAATCAAGTAATGTATCATTTTGTTGGACTTTTTATATAACGTGGTAATAATGACTTAATTGGCAATGGTTTATGTGTTTAAAATAAAACATTGTTCTTAGGAAAGCAAATTATAATATAATTTGCCACATTGGCAATGAATAAACTTATATCGAAATGTCCATACAAATATCTACCTGGGATGTTTACCCCCTTTTCTCAGAATATTTTATTGGCATAAATTACTTCATATTTAATCAACAATCGTGAGATTTTAGTTTTTTTTGCCACGAAATTTACACTTTAAAAAAATATTAATTCCAAACTTTACGTTTAGACTATGTGTATGCCTGCAATAATTTGCATACTTCTGAATTGAGTCGTAAAACCAAATCATTTCTCAGTATGGCCCTGTAACGTGCTCGGCATTCTGGTTTCCGATCACGTGAACTGTGCGTGAATTTCTTTAGGTTTAATTTCTTTCTTCCATACACGGACATTATTATACCCTATTCGTAGTCCATTTATGCCCCGGCACAACAAAGATGCAGCGAGGCAAAGCGACAGCCGCCTAAGCGTTGCAATACCTATTGGTCATTCGGCCATGAAACTATGAACAAGTGTAGGATTCGACAGGATAGAACTCAGGGTCGGGGAATCGCCGGCACGCGGACTCCGGCAGTTGCTGTTCATATTCGGTGCATACATAGCGTATATTTATACGTTAGCATGTCGTATATGGATACAGTAGATGAAACTGAGAATATTTCTCCCAATGCTTCCTTCAGCCATGTTTCCTCTTCAGTGATGTCTCCTCCCAGAAAACGTGACAAGAAGGGATATTTGAATATTCAAGCAAAAGAAATTATCCTTAACGATATTGAAAGACAAGCTTATGTCCTAAGACAATTTTCAACATTGTTAAAGAATATAAAAAAAACAAAACAAACTTCATTTTGAGTATAGAAGACAGAAATAGTATTTTGATGGACAGATAAGAGATTATTTTATGGAGAAGAAATTATTTAAAATCAATAAAGAAATACCGCGACCAAGGCAGGAAGATTTATTAGTTGGATCAAACCTGGATAAATGCAGGACATACAAAACCTAAAGTATGGGCTGCCTCTACAATTAAATCAGCAAAACAAGCCTTCTTAGATGGACTAACCACTGGCCTAAAGAATCCGTCAGATACGTGTAGCTAACCAATTCGTCATTTGTGTTGTAAAAATGATGTCAAGTAGACTGACTCTGTGAGCCAGTGCTGAAAATTTCTACACTAAGCTTAGCTATATCTGCTAGATTTGGAACCAACGCCTGTTAGATACTCTGCTTGTATTATTATTAGTAGTCTTGAATACTATATGAAATAATTATTCCAGGTAAAGAAAAACAATCTGTCACAGAAAACGACCGACTACCATGAAGAAATGGTCGGGAGTTCATTTGAACGATGGTTTGAAGAAACGCTCCCAAAGCTTGACGACAATGCCGTCATTGTACTTGATAATGCTGCATACCACACAAGAAAACTAGAAAAAATTCCCAAAATATCTACAAGGCAGAAATTCAACAATGGCTCCTATCAAAAGACATAAGTTTCAATGAAAATATGGTCAAAGCAGAACTTATCCATCTAGTCAGGCTGCACGAATATAATATAACCTAATGTTTTTGAGGAAATGGTTAAAAACCAAAATAAGACCGTTTTAAGGCTACCCCCTTATCACTGCGAATTAAATCCCATTGAAATGATTTGGGCAAATATAAAAAACTATGTGGTTTCAAACATGAGAACATTCAAATTTTATGATGAGAAAAATTTGTTTTATGAAGCTGTCAATAGAGTGACGGTAAACCATTGGAAATATTGCATCCGTCACGTTCAAGAGAAAATAGAAACAAAGATGTGGGATCTGGACAATATGATCGATATTCAAATTGAAGGTGTAATAATTAATATTAACCATTCGGACAATGATTCAAGAACTTCCAGCGATTAAAGAATTGTGAAAAGTATGTGCACTTCTTTCTATAAAAATAATTCTTTATCTTGTTAGATTATTTCAAGACCATTGAGGAAAATTCGGACCTGTAGAATCTTGCTTTTGGGCATGTTGTGTTTTGTCTGGGCGTAAATGGACTACGAATGGGATATAGTGTTGGCATTCCCCCTCTCAAAATACGTTCAGGCTCAAAGCGATAGGCGAGCTTGATAGTGGTGTTGATTATCGTTACTTTCGAGTACTCGTTACTAATCGTTACTCTTCTATAAAGTAATCATTTATTGTATTCGTTACTTTGATTACTTTGATTACTATGGGTATGAGTATAACGGTTTGGCGACGTGCGTCATGTAATTAATGTCGAATTTGAACAAGTTCAATGGAACCGAATATTGTAAGAAAATAGACAACCCTAAAATTTGCAAAATGTTATAAGCATAGTTTATTCAAGTCTGTCGTGTTTAATGCAAACATTGTATCTTCAAAATGTATGCTTATCAAAATGGGTTATTATAGGATGGAGTGTCATATGACTCGTATGAGCCTACAAACTTAAAATACTTTGTATTTACTAGAAATGCTTAAAAACATGTCTTTTAGTTAGAAAGATGATCTGTATATGGGCTCAAGGAAATTCCGAATGGCATGTAACTTTTCGAAGCATTCCAATTAAGCATATACCATATAAGAAATTCTACGTGGAGCTTAGTCTACACATACTATTGGTGGTCTCATACTGAATTATATTTTTTTAGCAACACAGTGCATGTAAACACGAGTCAAATTGACAGAACTTTTATTATTGTGGTTTTCCTGAATGGTGGTGTTACCTTGTCGCTTTTCTGCCTCATAATACTGCCGAACTTTGCTCCAATCCAATCGATTCT